TAATTTAATAAATATATAATTAGTGATTATAATTAATAATTACTTTTATTATAAATATTGTTAATAAATAGATATTTACTTTAATTTTACTTTAAATTAAAATTATAAATATTGTTAATAAATTTAGTAATTATTGTTATATTAAAAATAATTAAAATTGTTATTAAAAGTATTGTTATTGATTACTTAATAAAATATTATAATTACTGACTATTACTGATAAATACTGTTAATTTAATTTAATTTTGGTAATTATTAATTTAATAAATATTGTTAATAAATCCTATTCATAAATTTAATATTTGCTATTATATTAAAAATAACTAAATAATATTATTAAAACTATCATTAATGATTATTTAATTAAATAGTATAATTACTTACTATTATTGATAAATGTTGTTAATAACGTTTTGACAACTAACGATTTGATCGTCCAGTTCGAACAGATGGCCCGTTTTGACAACAAAAATTACAAGGAAAAAATTTTGGAACAGTTCCGGCCACCAGTTTTCGGGTCGACGGTTTGATCATCTAGTTCGAATGGATGGTCCATTCTGACAACAAAAAATTTTAGGCAAAAAATTGAGTTTGTGAGGTCCATTAAATAGTATCATACGTGTTATGTCATTCGAGGGTGTGACCCATACAACCTAAAAATGGAACCGTTCTGACCATTGGTTTTTGGGTCGACGGTTCGACCATTCGGTTTGAACGGACGGTCCATTCTGACAACAAAAAATTATAAGCAAAAAATTACAAAACCATTTTGGCCACCAGTTTTTGGGTCAATGGTTCAATCGTCTGGTTCAAATGAACGACCCATTCTGACAACAAAAATTACAGGCAAAAAGTTGAGTGTGTGAGGTCCATTAAGCAATATCATACATGTTATGTCATTTGAGCGTGTGACTCATACAACCCGAAAATGGAACCGTTTTAGCCACCGGTTTTCGGGTTGATGGTTCGACCATCCGGTTCGAACGGATGTCCCGTTCTAACAACAAAAATTAAAAAAAAAAAAAATTACCAAAAACCATTGAATGGGTCAACGAGTTAATGGTTTGACCACTCGGGTCAATGGGTCATTGACCGATTCAACGATTTTTTGCCAGGGACCAAGATTGGGGTAAAACGGAACTGGTTGTGTGAACGGTTCCCAATTAAAAAAATGAACGACCTGTTTTGACAAAAGAATTACAGGCAAAAAATTGAGTGTGTGAGGTCCATTAAGCAATACCATACGTATTATGTCATTCAAGTGCATGACTCATTACCTAAAGATGAAACCTTTTTGGCCACCAGTTTTTGGGTTGACGGTTCGAATGGATGGCATGTTCTAACAATAAAAATTAATAAAATAAAAAAACAACTAAAAATCATTGAACGGGTCAACGGTTTGACCGCCTAAATTAATGGGTCATTGACTGATTCAACAATTTTTTTCCAGGGACCGAAATTAGGATAAAACGGAACTGGTTGCTTGATGGTTCACAATTAAAAAAATAAAAAAAAAACGGCCAAAAACCATTGAACGAATCAACAGATCGACGATTCGACCACTCGAATCAATGGGTCATTGATCGATTCAACAGTTTTTAACTAGGAATTAGATCAATGGGTCAACGGGTCGACGATTCCATTCCAACTTTGCGAAGCAGGGCCCCTCCGCTAGTTAGTATTACTATTAGAGTAAAAGTCCATTCAAATTTCTCCTATATATATAATATTGATACCTCCCCTCATTTTTCAACATAGACTAGGACTTCACTTGTAAAGATGGCATGACCGGATAAACACCTCTCCTTTGTTGGCAATTTGTGAAGAACCATTTGCATATGACATCATCTGTGGGTGAAAATTATTTTAAATCCCAAATTTTCCCCCTTCTGATTATATTGGTTTTTATCTCTTCAGTTTCTTCCTTGTGAGATACCAAACTTGGAAGCATACATGTCAGTTGGTAAGTGTAAAAGCCAACCGTGCAGACCAGTAGAAAATACAACTGCTCCTTAATTCATCTGGGTAAATTAACCTAAACATTGCCAAGGTCCATGGAGAGGATCTTCATAATATGTTGCCATAATCACATTGGCATTCTCAATCACTCTTTTGAAAAGTCCGATAAACCTCTTCCCCATCAACCTGGAGCTCAAGAAAGCACCTGTCCATCTTGTTTACAATCAAGATAGGTCTAATCCTCTCACCAAGGGCCTCTTGGAAGACAGTTTCAGTTTGGACACATACACAATCAACCACCACCAGCACAACATCAATACCAGTAATAATACGCTATTCTTCATCTTGGCGTGTATCTGCCATTTTAATATCTCCTACAACTTCCTGAGCAATGATACTGGCTACAGCCACAAGTGAATCGGTGAGTGTAAACTTCCCATGATCAACATGAGCAATCACAGACATATTACGGATGTTGTGTTTCAGGTCCATAATCCTGCGAAGCTCAAACTTCATCATCTTGATGGATTTTTGTTATCACCTTTTGAGGAATCCGGAAGAAGTGTTAAAAAATAATCCACTTTTCAGAAATTTTTTACAAGTTCAAACTTTTAGAATTAATTAGCATTCTAGAAATGAAATCTCTAAGCCTCTAGAAAAAGTAATACACTTTATAGAAATTCTAATTTCTAGAATATATTTGGGTCTAGAAAATGATGATTTATTGAAAAGGTAAAATTCTAAAGAGATGTCTACAATGTTGGATGGCTTTGCTTCACCTACTTGGCTCTACTATAAATATGGCTAAGCTTGTACATTTGAGAATAACCCAATACAAGTTTCCATTTTCCCAATAACTTGAGCCTTTATCATTTGCTACCATTCTATCTTACCTAGTCTACTCTCTCTTACATCCCAAGTCCTAACAATTCTACTCTCCTCCATATCCCAACAGTGGTATCAAAGCCCGTTCAATTATTTTTGGGCGTTATTTTCTTTGAGCCAAAATTCCTTATTATCCCAAAACTTATCATGGCCACCATTCTAGCTAATAGCCAAATTCCAATCCCCATTTTTTCTGAAGAAAATTATGACTATTGGGCCATTAAAATGAGGACTTTCTTCATGTCCCAAGGTTTATGGGAAATTGTAGATAAGGGATTTACAATCCTTGAAAGTAGTTCTACTCTATTTGCAACAGAGCAAGAGAAATTACAGAAGAATATATAGAGAAGGATAATCTTGCTCTCTATCACATACAGATGGCAATGGCGGAATTGATTTTTCCAATAATTAGTGGTGCTACAAGTGCCAAAAGTGCATGAGATACCTTGAAAGAGGAGTTTCAGAGCAGCGCCAAGGTACGTACTGTTAAACTTCAAACTCTTAGAAGGGATTTGGAGAATATGAAGATGAAGGATTCTGAGACCATTAAAGATTATTATTCTAGATTAAGAGAAATTGTCAATCAATTAAGAACCTATGGAGAAGATATTACTAAAAAATGGTGGTTGAAAAAATATTAATTAGTGTGGTAGAAAAATATGATCTAATAGTAACCACTATTGAGGAGACAAAAGATATCACCACTCTATCAGTAACAGAGTTGGTGGGCTCTTTAGAAGCTTACGAAAAAATACT